CTAAAGTGCTTTTCATATCTTTAACATCCGCCATTCGCAGTGCTTTCTGTATTTCAGGGTCCCGGATGCCATCGATGAAATATTGCAGGGACAGGATTTCCCTTGTTTCTGTCGGGCACTCCGAAAAGGCGTGATGTGACAGCCTTTCAACATCCGTGGCGAGCTCCTGAAGCGTTTCGGTGAGCTTCTGTTGACGAGATTTTAATTGGAGCCTGCTGTAGTCTTTTAAACATTTCTCGCCGAAGCGCAGCTCCAAAGCGCCGGATAGAGCTTCGAAATCTAGCCTTTGACTTTTGGGAAGCGTCTGCAGGATATCCGCTGCGTCTGCTCTCAGAGAAGCGGCAAGATGACAGGCCTTAGCTTGGGAATCCCATCCATTCGCATCCGCAACGATAGAAAATTGTGTCCTATACACCTGCCAGGAGGTCTTCCCATCATATGTAGATAGTTTCAGAACGGAACGAGCAGGCATCGATAAAAAAATTGAAACCTTCAGAATTGTTTCCTACCGTCGCTATGCACTTCTTAGGCTGTCAACTTCTTTGGCGACGGCAGCAGAAACCCTATCATCAATTTGTGTTCGACGGCAGAAATCTCTCTTCTATGTTCTTTTACAGAAGAATTATTTCTTCTACTTGTTCTTTACCGAAGAAACTCTTTCTTCTATTTGTCCAACTTTAGTTTCAACCGCGTCTATTCTGCCTTCCATAGCCTCAAATTTATTTTCTATCCACGCAGGTAATTTCTCTTTTCATTTCGTCCTGACCTGCTTCATCTCATTTTTAAGAGATTTCATCTCTTCCTTAACGGATTCCTGGCCAAATTTCATTTCTCCTTTAACGGATTCCTGGCCCAACTTCATTTGTTCCTGTGCCGTTTTCATTTCTTCCTTGAGGGATTCCTGGCCCAATTTCATTTCTTCTTTAACGGACCTTTGACCAGCATCCATTTTCTCTTTAATTTCTTCTTAAAAGATGTTTGGCCAGCTTCCATCTTTCTTGGAAAGCAGCAAAAGCAGTAAATGAGCTGTCTCAATTGTTCTTCCATCCCTCTTGTTATTGGCATTCAAATCCCACTTCTGACACCAAAAATTGTTGCGTGCGTACGGGTTCGTTATGAAATGAATGCACAAGTCCGATGAAAAATGAACAAAAATTTATTATTATCACAACAGAAATGCTTAAATTTCTCAAATTATCATGCAGTATCACAATATCTCACAGTATTATCTTTTAACTACTTAAATGTACAATAGAACGTAATTCAAACAGCTAAAGAACGCTAATCCGCGAATTCGCTATAATCAACAACGGCAGTTTTCTAAACAACAAACAAAAACTAAGCAACTACTACAAACTGAGATGTTTTCCTCTTTTATAAGATTTTAAAATCACGCGCTAGAATTTTCCAGTACTTTCTCGAAATCAAAAAGAGATATTTATTTATTTAACGCACGCGCTCTTGTATTTTTTAATTTTTCCGGCTTAGCTTTCTTTAATATTCGTCACACGCTGCACTGCGCGAGAAATAAAACCATTTAATTTATAATTGAACTAACATTAGCTTTTTAAATACCAAATTCGTAACAACTTTTGAAATGCAACATATAAACAAACTAGAGGTCGAAGAATTATTTTTGCCCTTTCTGAAGAGAAATATTCTTATTCTGCAGCTGGAAAACACTGTGAAATGCATGATATTCATAAATCTGATGTGAACTCCCCAGGACTTCCTTGTTCGTCCTATTAAATTATAACATTTATCTCTTCATTTCATTTAACGTTTTTTCCTAGAAATTTCATTGGAGATGCTTTTCTCATTCAAATAATTCATTGTCACTTTCAGCAAGGCAAAAAATACATAAAAAAGCTCAAAATATCTTCATTAAAAATTGTAAAAATACAGAAAACCATAAAATACGAAATGCAGTTAAAACAGTTGAACAAAAATTTTGCAATTACGATTAAAGTTTCTACGCAGAAGGCATATGGTCACTTTACTTAACCTGTTCCGCCAAACTGAGTTAATGGCACTACAGGGTTAGGAAGTTATCCTATTCATTGCTAGCAATCTGACGGTTAGGCCGCCTTTCTACATTTTACTTTAATCTGTAATTTCTTGGATATAATTATTTTCATTCACTTGCTTCATTATCTCTAAGATGCCCTTGTTGCAGTAATAGTCCGTGAACAGTCTATTCACAGGATATGTGATGTAGTCGGAAGGAAAGAACTTCTGTCGAAGGTGCTCTGTCAGAGGGCAGGAGAGCAGGTAATGAAGTGCGTCCGCGTCTTCCCCGCGAAAACCGCAAGAACAGTTGACGTTCCGTCTGAGGAAACGTCTGTAATACGCTGGGAATTTCCCGTGGTTGGTACAGGCTTGGAGGAAGAGTCGGTTGCATTTCAGCCTCTTGAGAGAAGGTATTGGGAAGATGTTGTAAGTAAATCTTCCTGTCTCTTCTTCCTGCCATCGTGATGACCATGTCTCTTGAAATGCTGTCTTGAGGAGCCTTTTTTGCAACTTCTGCGGAAAGCGGAACTTCCTTGTCAATTTCTGGTTTGAGAGCTGCAGTCTTAGCTAGTTCATCCGCTCGTTCGTTGCCCTTCTGCCCGGTATGTCCTTGTATCCAGTTGATCTTTAAAGGTATGGAAGAGCCTAACGTCAAGAAGATCTCTCTAAGTGCTGCCGTGTGCGGATGTTTTGGAGGAAAGGAATTCAGCGCATTCAGAACGCTCATGCTATCTGTGAAGAATGAAGTGTGAGCTGCTGGTTGTGTACCTAACCATAGTGCTGTTTCTTTTAGTGCTAGGGACTCGGCTTGGAAGACTGAAGCATGATCGCTTAGACGGAATTGTGCTTGATAAATTTCTTGATTGTTCGAAAAGACCGTGAACGCTGCCCCTACTCGTCCTGAAATTTTTGAACCGTCAGAAAAAATCTCTCTTTGTTGTCCTGAGGGTGGCGATTTGCACCAGGAAAGGATGGGTAGATCTCCTGGGTGTAAGTTAGGGGAATCTTGGAAGCATTCTATGCTGGCATATGATAGATGTAAATCTTTTTTAGTGTGAAGGTCCTCTTTGTAATGTAGAAGTCGATAGATTGATCTTTCTAATTCTGCTTTTAGGTCGAGTGGGAGCGTGCCAGCTAAGACCTGAAGTGCTGCGGTTGATGTGGGTGCTATACGCACTGGTGATTTTTAACAGGATTACTCGCTGTATTTGATGTAGTTTTTGACATATTCTTGCTGTGCCATTCATCCAGACTGGGCAGCCGTAGAGGAGGATCATGCGTTTAATTGCATTAAGATATAGATGTTTTAACAGGCGCCCCTTTTGGCTCCATTTGTCTGTGATTATCCTGTTTAGTTTATTGATGATTCGATGCGTCTTATCTCGGACTTCCGTAAGATGTGATACCCACGTGAGCTTCTTATCAAGCGTGAATCCGAGGTATTTAATGGTATTCTGGCGTCGCAATGGATGCCCTTCCCACTTTATGCGTGGTGGATTCGCGTCTATTTTTGAACTTTTTGGAAAGACTATCATCTGTGTCTTTTCAATACTGAAACACAGTTTGTTGTCTTGACTCCATTTTGCAAGCAATTTGAGTGCTGCGTCTGCTTTTACGCTCTAGTGTTGTCCTATTGCCTCCGTCTATTATGAGTATAATATCGTCGGCGTAAGCTTGTATCTTGGCATTGTCTCCAAAGTTGATGTTCAGCGCTGAGTCTGCAATTATGTTCCACAAGGATGGGTCCGATATTAGACCCCTGTGGGGCTCCTTTGTGGTAATTCATCGTGATATTTAAGCCGTCTCTTTTGTAGGTCACTTGACGTTCTGTGAGGTAGCTTGCGATCAGTTGGTAAAGATTCTTTGGACATCGCAGGTCTTTTAGTTTTGTTTTGAAGCGCTGGCCACCATAGTTTATTGAATGCGGAAGCTACGTCAAGCGATATTATACACGTATGGAGGTTATTTTGTCTGTTATTTAAGATGATGTCTTGAACACGGTTGAAGGGCGTCGGTGGTGCTCCGCCCTTTAGTAAACCCGAATTTGGGCGGGGTTTAGTAGTTTGTTTTTTTTGACCAGGTAATACGTTAATCTCTGCGTAAGCATCTTGTCAAGGACCTTTGCCCCACGCTGAGAGTAAGCAGATAGGTCTGTAAGAACTGGGCATGGACTTTGGTTTTCCCTCTTTCTGGAACAATACTAGTTCTGCGTTTTTCCATTCCTTTGGAAAATAACCTAATTCAAGGCACTTGTTAAAGAGTGCTAGAATTTGTTTGTCGTCCGCGAGCCTAAGCCTCTTCAATGGTTTCAATCGTGAGGCCATCCCAGCCCAGGAGCTTTACCTCGGCGTGCGTGTTGAGTTTAAATCGTACGTTGCATTTCTTCGAGTGTGAACGGCTGATCGTCTTCCGAGTTTGGAATCTCGGTTGATTGGGCACGGATATCTGCGTGATATGTAGAGTCCTCGTTGGGGTCGTCTTCTGGAAAATGGAACCTCATGATTTCTCTAATTGTATCCTCAATTGTGCTCGTCATTGTGCCATCTTCTTTTTGAACTGAACCTATCTGTAATGGATCCATGCTCTTCCCTTTAGCTAGATCGAAGTATGTTCCGAACGGAGAGCTGACAGTGATTTTGTTCCATGTCATGTCCCATGCTTTTTTTCTTTTCTTTATACATCTTTTGCCGGTACTGTGCACGTACCCTTTGGTAAAGCAGCCTGTTATGGGTCCTTTCCTCTCCAGTTGTTTTTTGGAATCTTTTCCTTGTTGCTCTGAACCTTTTTCCTGAGATAGTGAGATCTTTTGTCCACCATGGACAGGTGCGCGATTTTGGTTTCGAGTTATGTGAGAGAACTGTTCTTTGATAGATCTCGTGAAGACTAGTGGTAACTTCTCTTACATATTTATCGATTTCTTCGATAGTTGTCAGATTTCTAGGGTCTGCTAAAGATTTTGAGATATACCTTTTGAAACTTAGCCAGTCGGTATGTCGTACATTGATTTTCGATCTTCTCCATGTTGGGTAATGAATGCTGGAGACGTCAAAATAGATATTATTATGATCGCTATTGTTTGCTTCGTCCGTTACCTTCCAATTATCGATCCGGATTATGTCTCTACTTATGATAAGTGTGAGGTCAATCCAGCTGTTACCACTTACTCCTGCGAAGGTTGGCGTATCCCCTATTTCATTGACTATCGATAGTCCAGTGCTGGCAATGAATTCGCATACTTTGAGGCCTCGTGTGTCCGTATTATGTTGAGCCCCATAGGGGACTTTTGGCATTGAAATCTCCGGTAATTATTGTAGTCATGTTGTTATTGTCCTGCATAAACCTTTCTAGGGTTGTCAGGATTGGTGCAATATCTCTGCGATGGAGGACAGTATACCGTGATTAGTATAAATCTTGAGTCACTGCCTATTGCAAGCGCTATAATCTCCGGAGAGCTGAAAAGTTCCAGAACTGGGAGATTTGAGTCCGCTATAATCACTGCAGTTTTTGCGTCTGTTCGAGAGTAGAACTTCCTATATTTTGTGGGGAATCCGTACAGTTTGTTCTGTACTGTGTACGGTTCCTGGATACATGCTACTTTGAGTTTGTCGTTCTGTTCAAAATTTATCTTTAAGTTTTCTGTTGCACTCCTGGAGTGCTTAAGATTAATCTGGATTATTTGGATACTATCCATAATTTGTTCGTTGTTTTAATCTTTCGAGCTCTTTTAGGTAGCATGGGCATTTCTTATCTCGGCTATCATGTTGGGCATCGAGGCCTGTATTATATCGTTTATTCACCTTTGTGCAGTTGACACAGCTGACTGTTGTTTGGTCACAATTGGTCTTCTCGTGGTGTGTGGAGCCGCATCCGGCACAGACTTTATCTTCCTTGCAATATTTCGCTGGGTGGTTATACCCAAGGCATTTGACACATTGCGAAACCTTTATAAACTCCCTTACGTTATATCTTGACCATTGTATGTTCAACTTCTTCGTTTTCATAAGGATCTTGAAAGCTACTGGGTCTATAGATAGAACCCAGTGCTGTCCAAAGCGGGCCTTCATGGCGAACAGAATCTCTATTTCACTTTCTGCTAGGTCGGTGTTCTGTATTTTAATGAAGTTTACTATCTCGTCTTTATTAATGTTCTCGTTGACATTGTAGACTATTATTCTGGGGTTTCTTTTTTGTGGATGTTTCGTCTCCACTACGTCCTTCAGCTTCCGATTTTCATTTATGGCCTCTTCAAGTATTGCCAGTTCATCCTTTTTCGTAACTTCTACTAGGAGCCCTCCTTTGTTGACTCTCTTTATATTCTTGACGCCTACTTTGAGTTTTCCTGGATCTATGTACTTCACCAGCTTCTCCTTTACCTCGTCGGATGTACTACCCTCAGTCTTAGGATAGACTAGTAATACATGCTCTGTTCTCTTGCCGTGATCTTGATTGTGATCGTCTAGATCTAGAACTACTTCTGGATGGCCGACGAGATCTTGCAACTTCTGCAAAAGACAGCTTTTGAGTGGCGACTATTCCTTGGATGTATGTCTCTATATTCTTAGTTTGTTCAATTTGTCCTTCCAAATTGGCAACTTTTGTAACTCTGCCTCGAGACTATTCTTAACATATGGTCAAAGAAACCTCGTATCTTTTTGTTTGCTTTTTGTGGAAATGTCGTCTCTATTTAAATATCCAATTAGATTAGTATAGCATTCTGAGGCCTCTTGATACTCTGTACTGGCATCTACCAAAGTATATCAGCGTCTAGCTGTCGTGTACTGCTCTGTTTCTGTGTCCTTATCTATTATTGGAGCACTGGCCGACTGCGTCTCATTGTCGGGGCGTTGCCCCTTAGGCTCTTTATTTTTTGGACGAACCATCTCACTTTGTGTTTTAAATAGTTCCAAAATAATTTTTTAAGCAGAAATTTGAATTATTTGACGAAAATTAAACAAATCGACCAACGGGCAGAAAGACTTCAAGTTCGGTGCGCCAAAAAACTCGATCTCGCCCTTGCGGCGGGCAGAAAGGCTTTATGGGTGGTGCACCAAATTCGTTGTGTCAACATATATCCGCCACACTAAGCCTAACGCTTACTCAGAATTACAAATGCATATAACATTTTTCATACATGTACCAAAATCACAATTTTCAAAAAATAGGTAGAGAAACAGATATAAAATCCTATTTTGTACTCAAAAGTTATTAGCACAGTATATAAAAAACCTTGAGAGACAATGCTTACTCAGGATATGCAAATGAGGGCGGCGGACAGCAACAATTTTAAAAGTCTTCCTATCCTCGGAGATTTCCCTTCTTCGCAGAGAAACACCACAGATATCGCAACCGGAACTAGTAATCCATGGAAGAATCACATTTTCACAAACACAAGTGGTATAATTACCAAGATTTTAGCACTTTTAACGGAGCACACAAAACCACAACCAATATGGCCGCTGACATGCGCAGAACCCTTCTACGCAGAAACAAGCAATTTGGCCAACGGGCGAGAAGGCAAATTTTTCGGGTCACAAAGCTGAAAGTTTACTTTTAGTTCCACTCTGCAAAAAGGCACTGAAGTTGGTGCAGAAATAACTTAATTCACTGTTCCACTAGAAGTTTGAAATGTAAACAAACGGCGCTTTCATTAGGCTTAGTAGCATTTAAGCAACTTATGGATTATTGGTAATTCTACAATTATTGCATGCAGATTGAACTAAATGTATAAACACCGTAACCGGAATATAAGAACAACATAATTCAATCACTTTTAAATCAAAAATGCACAATTTACACATATATAGGAACAAAAACACTGAGAAGAACGAGCCGGGTAACAGATTCAGAATATATATATTTATTAATATGCTTCTGGTGCTGTCGATCTCAAAAAGAAGGGATGTGCATAACTACATATTATAGCAGTCCCATATACACAATTTCAAAGTTGTGAGGCTTCTCCTTTTTTGTGTTATGCTAGATATATACGTACGTACGTCACGAACAAATCTCTTCTGAATCTATTTTAAATATCTTTGTCAGTAGGTTTTGGGAGAAACAGTCCTTTATTCTGTCCGTACAGGCAGATGTCAAGCAAAAGCATTGTTCAAATGGATCCGAGAGCGGTCGAAATTTATATTTCCGTTGAAATATGATATATTAATTTTCCGCCACTACAGTACTACTTTACTTGGTACAAGGAAGTAAATATAATCAGCAAAGTTCGTTAATTGTAGAGAGGAACAGAATTAAGTTTCAGTAAGGATTTTTGATTATTGAAGATTTCTCCTATAACGGAAATTTAAAAATAAGGAAGTAAAAATATAATTAAAATAACTACTTATATTATCAGAAAAATTATCTTACTTCCAATATTAACTGAAGAAATTGTAGTTCGTTCCGACGACGATTTTCGAAGCGTACAGAGGTAAAGCTGCCGCTGCATTCCTTGAAGACTTCTGCAACTTTATTTACAAATTATATTACTGAATTATCTTTAGAACTTTTCAGGACTATTACTATGAAATCTGTTAACATTTACCTGTCGATTAATTCCTGAAAATCATTACCCTTCGACTCGACAAAGCTCTGATTGAGAACAAACTTACCACTACTGATAGATACTGAAAAGAAGTCAAAGAGGAAAGGAGAAAGTAAAAACACCTAGAAGTTTTTCGAAATGCCTTTACGATGAAAAGTACAACTGACTTATGGAACATATAAGCAATAAGTATTATTTATGTATTAAACATTAATTACAGGCCTCAAAATCGTTCTAGAAGTATGTTAACAATACAAAGCTCGCAGGCCGAAGTAACAATATCAAAGGTAATCGGACTAACGGAAGTTTTTATACTTGTAGTTAACAACAAAATGGCTAAAGCACTCCATTTCCTGTTATATTTCACAGAATATATTCTATCATATGTCAGGTGTACAAATATCTTTATCCAGAAACTAGTATTCTGTCTAATAGAAGAAAATTAATTATTACCCATAAGGCCGGGGCTGCTGCTTTCGAAACGGGATTTTACGTCTTACTATGAAGGGGAAACCACTTTTCAAATTGTTGATATCAAATACTATCGCTCTGTCTTATCTTTACAGAAATTATGTGCATGTATGCATGCATGTATGTGTGCATGTTCCTCTCATTCTGAAAAGACAATGGTACTTAAACCCATTAAATTTTGAACGCTGTCCTCCATCCGAATATGTGCAGCTGGAAACCCGAAATATATATTTAATTTTTATAAAACTTTAAAGAATTTTTGTCTAACAAACTCGAAGTTTGGAAAGCGAGCAGTGGCAACATTGTACAGAATAATATATTTTTATCTCCAGCGCGCGAGAATGTCTCGCATATTCTAAAGATGTGCTGTTTTTAAATATTTTGTGATTTTGCTGTTGTGTTTAATTTCATGCGGCGTAAGTGCAAATAACGTGATATTTAATAAATAAAGTTAAAACACAAAATGTTGATAATAAAAAGGGAAAAAACAATTTTCCAAGCCATCTAACTAAGAAAACTGAGCACTGATATGATGAATGCGAAAAGGCTGAAAAGATATTAAAATGTAATGCCAGTACATAATACGGCATCGGAAACTCTAAACATATGCTGCTTTTAAAATTTTGTAATTTTGTTATTGAATTGTATATGGCTTAAGTGCGAAGAAACTGGTGCTTAATAATAATGCTAGCAGGAGTGAGTGCAACTGAAGACTGGTAGACTGCAAGCTCAGCGAGAGCATGAAAAACCTTAACAAATCTTTTGTTATAGTTAAAATCTGAACTCTTTCAGATTTCAATTTTACTAATTATATTTAATAAGTAATAATGTTTTTGAAAGTAATCTTTAAATATTGTAATTAAAAATTTTTCGTGTATGTATATTTTTTTTTCATAAAGAATTATCCTTAAATATAAAATAAAAATGGCAAGCATGAAGTAAGTGAAAACGGGAGAATTCAAGAACAAGAAGCTATCATTTTTTGTATGAGTAAAATTCTGTTTTTTTTTTTTTTTTTTTTTTTTTTTTTTTTAAAGGCTGTGGAAGCAATTTTACAAACACCAGAGGCCAAATATTTTCTCCTTATTATCCTGATATCTATCATGGAACTCTCAACTGCGCTTACACTATTGGAAAAGCTGGGCAGTTCATAGGAATACAGTTTGATGATAATTTTAGTGATCATGCTAATTCAAACGGTAAATAATTAATTCGTGATTCCTTTTTTATTAATTCATTTCATTTATAAACCGACCACCGTATTTCCTCTTTTTAAAAACATAATTATTTTTCAGAAAGTTATTAGTACTCTTTTATGTTATTGTTCTTTAATATAAAACGTGAATATTTAAAATGATTGCATTCCTTACTAAAGATGTAGCAAAATGAAACGTAATAACTAAAAGAAAAAATCTGATGTGTACACCACACACATGACTTCCTTGTACGGAATATTAAATTATACGCATTTTTTCTTGCATTTAATTTAAACTTATTGGAATGAATTAAATCTACTTCGCCGACAGCGCATAAACCGCAATAGAATAAATGCATTCTTTAAAATTTACTCTGTTTGTTTACCATATCAGGTTCAGTGTTCCGCCTTACTTGCTTGGGGAACATTCAAGAACCTGACTCGGAACAGGGAGCTTACTAAAGCTATGTTCACTAAATGTGGGAAGTAGACAAGATACACAGGAAGGGTATACGAAACCCTTTATTTTTCACTCTTTACAATAATTTCCGAACTTCGGAATACAGAGACCAACCACTTGTGGTCTGAACGTAAGAATATAAAAATATTAACTAAACTCTAACTTAACTTTGAAATAATAAACAAGGGCCTACGTGGAAGATTGGCCGTATATTAACAGGAAGCCGTATGTAGTACACAGAACTGTTAACACTACAATACGTTTAAAATTATTAAGAGGATTAAATCTCTGGCCTGGAAGGCAACCAGCAACCGAGTAAAACTGCTAAGGCAAGTGGCCTGCTTCGACTAACTCCTTCCTCTCTCTCGCTTGGCAAAAAGCCACAACTTAATTTGCATAAATAAGTTAAAGCTTTTAATTCTGGCCGGAAGTAGAAAATAAGAAGTGATAGTAAAGATTTAAAATAAAATAAACGTTAGTAAAACTTAAGATCCTTACAACCATAGCGACACTCTGGGGCTAGATTCACTTAACAGTATTATATTTCGTTCATATTATAACTCATAATGCACAAAATGTATATCATTTAAAGAATAGAATTATCTAATCGTTGCCACATGTTCTATTCAAATACTATAATAAAGCTAGAATGATTTATAAAAGAAATTAAGCAAACAAAACAAAAAAGAAACAGTTTTTCACAGACGATTGAGTATTTCTCATTCAATTAATTCAGTTCTCACTTGTTTTTTATTTAATAATTTTTGAAGGAAGTCTACATACATGCCGAATTTTAAGTTCTGAGAAGGCAAAATTACATAAAAACTCAAAATATCTATATTAAAAATTACGAAGTAAATCTTAAACATTTATTTCCTCGAAAAAAATTCCAGAAAGGATTAAGCATGATTTAATTGGCAATAATAAATGAAGCCGTTATCTTTGTTGTTGCGAAGGTAAGTTTCTCTAGATTGGCAACAAATCCACTAGTCTGCTGTTTCAAATGTAAACAATCAATGGCCGCCATAAAAAAAGGCTTAGCGGCACTTAAACAACTTTAAAATTGTTGATAATTCTTAAATATTGCATACATATTTATTAAAGGCATAAAAACCTTAACCGGAAGATAAAAACAACATAATTCAATCATTTTTAAAGCAAAAAATGTACAATTTACAAACATATACGAGTAAACAAACTGAGACACTGAGCCGGGTAGAGTGATATATATATAAATGTATTTATATACGTTTGGTGCGGCCGATTGCAACCAAAATACGAGGTGCACATCTACGTGTTATAGCAGTCCTAGATACAAAATTTCAACGTTCTGAGGCTACTCGTTTTTGAGTTATGCGAGATACATACGTACGTACAGACGCCAAAAAAAATTATCTTCAGAATTCATTTTAAAGCAGTTTTTTTTTTTTTTTTTTTTTTTTTTTTTTTTTTTTTTTTCAGGAAAAGAGTCTTTTATTCTGTCCTTAAGCACAGATATCAAGCAAAAACATCGTTAAATTGCATTCGATAGCGGTCAAAATGGATATTTTCGTTGAAATATGCTGTCTGAAACTTTTCGGGATGACAATACTTCCTTTTTACTTCGTACAAGGAAGTACAAACATCGAATTTATACTTATAAGTATGTTGAAAATAAAATGATCGTGTGATCTCTGCGATCGTGCATTTGTAGTCGTCTGATATCTTTTTCTCGGCAGGCCTTGCGATAAATGTTTCTGTAAAAAATCTTTTAGAATGTTTTCCGTGCTCTTCAAGTTTGCTCCTCCAAACTAGCCCTTGATGAAGAACTAAATTATTTAAAAGCAATAGCTATTGACAGGGGCTTTTCACCCAACATTATTAATCAAGCACTTAAAAAATTCTCATCTCAACACACTAAAAGCCACACTCTTATTTTAGGAGATTATAAAAATCCTGTTGTCATTCCCTTCTTTCCATCAATTAGCTATAAAGTTGCACATATTTTGCAGAAATTTAACTTTCGGGTTGTTTATTTTATTCTCCCATCATAATATTCCCAATAATTCCAACTTCTATACTCAAGGACCCCCATTCCGGATATGAATTCCTCCTGGGGTATTTATAGGATTCCTTGCCAGTGTGGTTTAATTTACATTGGCCAAACTAAGAGAGCCTTAAAATTTCGCGTCAAAGAAAATGAGGCATATGTTAGAAAAAAGGAAACACAGAAGTCTTCTGTTGCTCAACATTGTTGGTCCGAAAATCACACTTTCACTTTCAATTTTTTCTGCTGCCAAAATTATTCAAAAAACATCTTCCATTGGAGAACTGGATTTTCTAGAGGCATTTCACATTCATAAAAAATCTTTCTGTTCTAGTTAACGATCCTAATTCCAATCCAAATTTGCCTTCGGCTTTTAGAGAAATTGTGTTTTAGTTCTGGTTTCGCCAACAGATGGCGCCACTTGCTTATTCTTGTCCAGGCTTTGTTATCTTATCTAATCATTATTTCCTATCTTGTTCATTTGCGGTTTTGCAGCTGAAGATGATGGTTCGGTAAAACCATCGAAACTAGTCCTGTGAAAGTTTTGTGGGTATAACGCTGATTTTTGTTGTTTGACTTCTGAATTAGTATAACGGATATTTTTGCTTACTTCGTTAGTTTATTCTTTTTCTCGGATTACCTAATTAATTATACTTGGATTATATTTCAGTCTAACATGTTTATGTATGAGATGTGTTGTGAATAAAAATCAGAAAAACTTTGACAACATGATCTTCATGCGAAAATCCCGTTTATTTTCCAGTGTGATACAATAGTATTTTTTTCAAACACGTTATTTGTTACTTTTATTCCTCTAGTACTTTACTTTACTAGAGAAATATTAATCTTTAATATAAAACATAATTGTCTAAAATGATTGACTTCCTTACAAAGATGTAGCAAAATGTAAGGTATTATTTAAGAGAAAAATATCGAGTTTATACTTACAAGTATTTTATACTTCATTTAATTGCATAAGCAGTGTCAAGAAAATAATCCACTTCTTGACATTACTGCCCGGATAAAACCTTTCTCACTGTCTAACAACAGTAGGCAAAGACTGCGTGAATGCAAAATTCTTAAGCTACCATTAAACAAACAGACACATTATATTCGTTTCGGGGAGCTAGGAATATTACATAATCTGTCTCCAGAGTCATATACCGCCAACACCCGCCTTCGCTTCCCATATTCGAATGTCCCAACTTACTGCTAGCAAATTAAAAATGTTTCTGTTTTGTTTATGTGACTTTTATGGCATCATAGTCAGATCTAAGCATTTATGATATCATAGATATCTAAGCAGTGTCAAGATAAGCAGTCTAAAACGTCTGCCAAGATAAATCTAAGCAATGTCAATAAAATAATCCACTTCTTGACATTATTGCCCGGATAAAACCTTTCTCACTGTTTAACAATAGTAGGCAAAGACTGTGTGAATACAAAATTCTTAAGCTACCATTAAATAAACAGACACATTATATTCGTTTCGGGGAGCTAGGAATATTACATAATCTGTCTCCACAGTCATATACCGCCAACACCCGCCTTCGCTTCCCATATTCGAATGTCCCAACTTTCTGCTAGCAAATTAAATATGTTTCTGTTTTGTATATGGCACATTTATGGCACATTTATGGCATAGTCAGATCTAAGCATTTATGGTATCATAGATATCTAAGCAGTGTCAAGATAAGCAGTCTAAAAGGTCTGTCAAGATAAATCTAAGCAGTGTCAATAAAATAATCCACTTCTTGACATTATTGCCCGGATAAAACCTTTTTCACTGTTTAACAACAGTATACAAAGACTGCGTGAATACAAAATTCTTAAGCTACCATTAAATAAATAGACACATTATCTTCGTTTCTGAGAGCTAGGAATATTACATGATTCTGTCTCCACAGCCATATACCGCAACACTCGCCTTTGCTTCCCATATTTGAATGAACCAACTTACTGCAAGCAAATTAAATATGTTTCTGTTTTGTTTATGGCACATTTATGGTATCATAGTAATATTTATATAACTGGTAGAATGAATTGTTGCTTAGTAATATAGTTCCGTGCTCCTGGATGATTTTATTGATGAAGAAATTCTATAATTTTACTTAGGTAGAACTTAATTCCCACCGGGGGTCTTGCGATAAGCTGACCAATTGTCCAGGCAAAGATGCTCAAGCACCCTGGAGCCCACGGTCTATATCAGGGCACTGCCGGGTATGGCTCTCTAAGGGCTGCTTGTGCCGCTGAGTTTAGTTTTATGATTTAATTCCGCAATACAAAACGTTTAGCTTAAAGTCAGTTAAACGTTTTGTGAATAAAAAAGTCAGTTTTTATCTGGCGATAAATTCTTGTTAAACTTTATGATTATAATCATGATATAGATTGTTATGATGGATGTTTTATCCACCTTTTTGGGCATCAGTCATAGAAAATAATTTAAATATTTTTGATAATCTCCAACATGCTCAGTCAACATTAAATTTTAAGCAAAGCGATGAAAACTCCTAAATGAAAATTTCCTTGTTTTTATTTGGCATATTTTATTATGGCAAAGAACTCTACGGCTCTCTGCTTAAAGTGAGAGATTCCTTTCTTGGAGAATGTTCAAAGGGAAGCTAGCTAGTATCCACATTACAACATTGTAAAATTTGGAATCTCTCTTTATTTTATATTATTCCCTCTCAGATTGCTTTCTATCGGTATCCGGACATAATCCCGACAGCCGAAATCCCGACAAGCCGAAATCCCGACAAGCCAAAATCCCGACAGGGTCGAAATCCCGACAAACCAAAATCCCGACAGAGTCGAAATCCCGACAAGCCAAAATCCTGACAGGGTCGAAATCCCGACGAGCAAAAATCCCGACAGGGTCGAAATCCCGATTGTCCAATATCCTGACAGGGTCAAAATACCGACACGGGCGAAATCCCAATAAGGCCTAATGACCCCTTAACATACTTACACAGCTGCAACTAGTATATGCTTTGATGACTAGCAAATCTGAAGAAAATTACAAAAGATTATTCCAAGATTTAATTGATTTCGCTGAAGAAAATAATATTGAACTGAGGCCATCTAGAATCATTAGTGATCTAGAAAAAGCAGCTATAAATGCTCCGCACACTCAAAATGCTGTCGAGGATTGGCACAGAAGATGGGAGACTTTAATTGGACGGGCCATGTTGGCGTTTATAAAATCATAGAAGGATTTCAAAAAGAACAGGAGCATGTGGAATACCAAGTTGAATGCATTCATCGCGGAGAACAACAACAAAAACGTAGGAAGGTAGATGATGACAGAGAAAGGAGAATTATGACTGTTGTGGACGATCGTGATAATCGACCTGTGATGGAATATCTTCGTGCTATCGCTCGCAATGTGTCACTGTAAATATGTCGTTTGCATGTGTAAGTGATGTTTTCTTTTTCTTAATAAAAAGAATTTTATAATAAATCTTCATTCAATTTTTCAAATTTTAACGGTCATTTCAATTTGTTAAAAATTATTTTAAGTAATGACATAATTTTTATGATTTTTTGATTTAAACTTTTAATTAGTAATATGTAATAGTTAGTTAAAAATTGTATTTTATTAAGCTAAATTGAGTGTTTGTATTTAGATATTAACTTGTCGGGATTTTGGACAGTCGGGATTCTGGACACTCGGGATTCTGACCCTGTCGGGATTCTGGCTTGTCGGGATTTCGACGTGTTGGGACTTTGGGTTGTCGGGATTTCGGCCCTGATCCCGACTGTCGGGATTCTGGCTTGTCGGTATTTAGGCTGTCGGGATTATGACCCAGACCCCTTTCTATCAGTCTTTGTATTTTTGCTTTGTTTTTGTATGTTTTACAGCAGTCTTTGTATTTTTGCAATTTCATCCCATTTCACCATTTAGTATGACTTTGTGGACTTACTTTTTCCCAAAAAAATTTCACTAGGGCAATGAAATTAGCAAATGGCCAAAATTAATCTTATTCTACATATTGCCTAACAGTTACCCTTTTATATTGCTAAAAATTAGTATCAGGGAACTTGTGTTACTATCAAAAATTAATCAAGTCTTATAATAACAACACATTGTTATTTTCTGTTATCTATAATGTGGTTCAACTGTTTTACTGAATAAATTAAATACTTTCAGGAAACCAGAATTGTGCATCTGCTTACTTGGAAATATACCAGGAAGACGTATTTGAATCTAACAGACAAGGCAAATACTGCGACAGTAATACACCAGAAAGTCGGACTTTACTTGGACCGGTTACGATAAGGTTCATTAATTCTAACGCAGATACTGCTCATGGATTTGAATTAAAATATGAAGTTTTAGGTAAATGTAAAAGCACAAATCTTCTTTTTTAAAAATGCCAAAATAATCTTGAGTTTTAAAATAGCCCATCCTGTGGAAAACTGAGCTCAAAATCATGTCTTTTCACTCCTGTCTATTATCCTGAATATTTCTGGCGGCTATCACTTCATAAGTACTAAGTCTGAATATCTGCTGCACATCAAAGCAAAAATACACGAAATCAAAAAAATAAATATTTTCGAAAGTTTGCTGATTATTGATTATTTTGTGAGCAGGTAAAGTTATGTAAAAAATGAGACTCCCGTGTATATTGTGAGAAATATCTTTAACGCCATTTACACAAAATTACAAGCTTACAAAATGCAATTAATACTCTCTTATAACCTTCTTGTGAGAAGAGACTATTTTTTTAATTTCATATTACAAATACTCAATATTTGGGCTTAAGCCATTAGTTTACAGGCTCTCCAGTACTTTTTAACAATGTCCTCATATCGAGAAAGTGCAATACAATTTTTTAATTTCTAAAAAATCATAGACTAATTGGAGTCAAGCAAAATACAGTTTGGGTAATCCACCACTCCAATTCTGTAGAGGTGGTCTCGCAAATAGTCATGCCCGGTTGACCGGGCCATGACTTATATTTTCAAGAGAAATAAATTACAATGAAATAAGCTATATCCCGTAATACAAATATTAATTATCCTAATAAAAATATTAACCAACTTTCCGTTGAAAAAAAATCATGTAAAACTTTTCAATATCTTACAAAATAGCGAAATAAGCAAAAAAAAAAATGAAAGAAACTCAAAAAAAAAAAAAAAACAAAATGTTTCCGCGCACAGTTTTACTCTGTGCAGACAACACTATAAAAAAATAATCAAAAATAAAACAAAAAAATATATTATAAATATATATAAAAAATGGCAATGAAATATGCCAATCTCTTAAAAACAGTGACATGAGAAATACGATGAAAAAATTGTTGCCAAACCCATATTTCTAAAAGAATGAAACTATTCAAAATGATGCGATTTCATCAAAAAAATCTATCAACAACAAAAGAAAGGAAAATTGTTGCCAAAATCACATTTTTAAAGATGTGAGAAGTGTACTCGGAAGCTTTATTTAAAAAAAAAAAATGTTTTAAAAACACAAAATATTATCATTTTTCCAAAATTCTTTTTTGTAAAAGCAGTCGCAAGTTTAACGTGTACTAAAATCAAAAAAAAAAATAAATGGTACATCTTAAAAATAAACTTTTTTTAAAAAAAATTCAGTTGAAAAGGTGTTAAGCTCACTTTGTTAAAAAAAATCGTATTTAATCGATTTATTGAATCACGAAATGTGTTTTAAGTTCGTAAAATATCTAAGTGCCTACGTTTCATGACGATGTGAAAATGGAGTGTGTAGAGTAAAATCTCGCTTTTCTATAGCCCATTATGTCTCAAAATGACACTATTTCGCCACAAAACATAAAATTAAAAAAATTCTAATTCGAATTTCGAAAAAATCGCTTCGAGGTGGACTGGCTCTTGTCTAGATGCACCTATGTACCAAATTTCGTAGCCGTGGGTCTATTAGCTTACGCGCAGCGCGAACGAAAGACACACACACTGACACACAGACAAACTCTTTTATTATATGTAGAGAAGATATCTACCTTTGTTTTAATAACTTGTGTGTGTTCCTTTGCTACTGGAATCTATTTATTTGGTCTAATATTGTAGGTCTTTCTGTCATCCATTTAGGCATGTGTTTTACTATTTTACTATTGATTGTTTTTCACAGATTGTGGTGGCATTCTTACTGATCCACGAGGTGTGATATCTTCTCCCTCACACTACGACTTACTTCACTACTGGGACTGCATTTGGCAGATTACAGCTCAACCTGACAGAGTGATAGCTCTCAAGTACGTAAATTTTAGATTCATTGCAAACCAAATCACATCGAAAAGGTAATTGTTAGACTAGTTTCAAAAAACAAAACAAACAAACAAAAGAAAAAAAGCTGAAAGCTTTCATATTTTATACTACGCCCAAAGGGGCGTTTTTTTTTTTTTTTTTTTTTTTTTTTTTTCTGAATTTTGGGTCCCAGATCCAGGTATGATTTACTTGAAAGTAGGGAGAGAAGAGAGAAAAAGGCTGCTCATTTCCGGCTTGTGCTTTGTGAGTACAGCTAGCATTTTGTTAGTATGAATATAATATTTATTAGTCTTATTTTCATTGATCGTCTGCTCTTTTTTAATTTTGATTACCTAATTTTAAAAATTCTGCGCTAAATTTAAATAAGATGTGGAAAGAAATATTACTTGTTCTTTATACAAAATGGAATTAAAACTAAATTGTTCTTTCACAAGTGGCTACAATACTCTTTTCATATAAAGACAGGTCTTTTAAAGCTCCATCAAAATATATCATACTGAAACACATTATTTAGTTTGTGTACCAGATTTAAAAAAAAAAAAAAAAAGTTAAATAACTATGTTTCGTTGCTATCATATTATCGGTGAATATTATAAATATCAAAAATTTACTGTTACAATTTTCTACAATACCTCAAGTAAATAAACACTTTACAGTTACTTATTGTAACTTCATGTAATACTCAGTTACTTTACCGAAATAAAGAGTTCTAGTAAATATTAGATTTTGTTGGAATAAACAAGAATATGTAATTTCCCCAAAACGTTATGCTTTAAGAAAATTTTAAATAAGCATACAATGCGTAAATTTTACATTTCAAAAGGTATTTCTCTTCAAAATATTTTTGTTTCATGAATTGATAAAAATTATTCCGTCCTTGAACAAAATGTTCAATAAAACACAGAGAGCCGTAAAACCATTCCGCATCCCTCCCTGCAAGCCATTCGGAACCTTTTTTTCTTCCTCTTACGGTAATTGAACTCGCCCAGTAAAAAAGCAGCCGTTCGGATGCGTCTATTATAAATCACTCAACGCAAATCAAAAATATTTAAAAATAGCATGTCTTTAGAACTTCCGACAGTAGTCCCGGGGGCTGGAAATGTGTTTTTTTTTTTTTTTTTTTTTTTTTTTTTTTTTTTTTTTCGGTACAGTGTTGCCACTGCTCGCTTTAAAATCGTTGAGATTTTTAATCAAAAATTCATTGCTGTTTTACAAAATATGAAATAGGCAATAAAACAATTTCCAAATTCGGGTTGCTAGGTGCGCGTGGCCGGGTGAAGGACTATGTTATTCAAAATTTGATGAATCTAGGTACCGTTGTTTTTTTCACAATGCGAGAAACATACCTACATTGATGTAGATTCTTCGTTTCTTAGTTTCTTTAAATATAATATGGGGCAGTAATATTTGGTGGCAACAATTTGAAAAGTGATACATCGCATTTAAGGGATTCAACGCAAAATGCCTTCTGGACTAAAAAAATGTTATGAGCATAAAACTAACATAATTCTATATTTTAAAAAGGCTTAAGTTATCGAACAATATTTTTAATTTTCCTTGTTGAAGCGTTTCAAACGAATTAAAGTCCGGAATGTCTTATTAGGTGTTTTAAAGCATTGTTTTTATACTTTATTTTAGATTTTCTAATTGGAATCTTAAGCCATCTGCCGGATGTGTGCGTAATTCTTTAGAGATATGGGATGGAAATGTTACAGGACCTCTTATTGGTCGCATTTGCGGTAAGGGTAGAATAACTTTCAAATCAACAGGAAACCAACTGACTGTGCGCTACCGTTCTACATCGGAGGACACGAGCAACAGATTTTCGGCCTTTTATTACAATACATACGGTAAGAGAAAAATTTTATAATTTTATAATTTATTACAATACATACGGTAAGAGAAAAATTTTATAATTTTTTTGGCGCATTAATATATGAAGTAAGTACCAGAAAATTTAAGAACCTCGCAACAAAAACTAACATCCTCGCAACTAAGCCCAGCAACACAAAAAAAAAAAAAAAAAAAAAAAAAAAAAAAATGCAATAGCTTGAGGTTGTTTTATCATGAAATTCATTGTATATAGCTTAATATGAAATGAAGTAATTTCTTTCTCAATGCGTATACAGGAAGTGATTCAAAAATGATTACAAAACTAAGTATGTCTGTAATCAAAAACCATCAAAATGTCTGTAATGCTTGGTAGTAAATCTACGCTACCAGTTTAGTATATGGTTCCAATAAGGTAGTTCCTTCCCATTAAAAATATTTAATCATATTGGCAATTTCAGATTAACTGAAGGCGGTTAAGGTGATTCTATCTAAAACGCGATAAGATTTGTTTACAGTGAAATGATGAAAAAATTACTACTGCAAATCGTTTATTGTTATTTTTCAATTCAGTGGCACAATGACAGTGTTCAAGATATATTGTAAATATTTTTCTTTAGAGAAGAGAAATAAGCCAAAGTAAAACATAATATTATGCAAAGCAACAATCTTGTGCTTGGCATAGATTTTAGCTAAGAATCTATCGATTTTGAGGGTAAACAAGTGCAGGTCTCTCTTCAACAGGAGCAAAGAAATCTGCAACGAATTAAAAGCCACGGTCGTATTGACACCCAAAAGTGAAGCCTAATTAGCTTATTAATTGCACTCCTCTGAACCTTCCTTGCTCTGACTAATTATCGTTTAAACTGCCAAATAAAAGACTGACTAAAATTGAGTAATACAGACAACAGGTGGAACTGAACTAGATTTATTAGACTAATTCCTCGCAGTTTACAACTTAAGTTTAGTCACTGCTTTTTGCGAGATTTGCATTAATTTAAATATTAAAATTAAAACAAGATACGAGTACAATATGACATTCAACTACTAACTCGGTTCCAGCAATGAGGATTCTAAACCTACACTTTAATATATATAAATGTGCATTGATCCATAGGCCAACTGCGTGGGTGACTTATGTTTTAGGATAACTGGCTGTATTGTATGATAGACACCGTATTCTCTCTGAATTGCAACTTAACTTGCTGTTTAAACTGAAACCACTTTGCACTCTGGTGAACTCGCCGAAAAAAATAGAATGTACGGACAAAAATTAACATTAAGAATATAGAGGTATTCCTCCCGCTTTCTTAGTATGCATGCGTGGTGTAATGGTCAGCACACTCGGAGCGTGTTCGAAAGGTCCGAGGTTCGAGTCCCGGCGAAGGCATTGCTCTTTTTCATGTCTCCTGCTTCGTAATATCTTGATGTCTCTACAATGGCACCCGAACTAAAAAAAATGGATGATGATTCTCCACCACCAGGATTTGGCGATCGGGTGCCCTAATCTCCAGGGAGAGTATATAAGGTATTTCTCCCGCCTTCTTAGCATGACTTCGTGGGCACACTCGGCGAGTATTCGGGAGGTCCTAGGTTCCAGTCCCGGCGAAGGCATTCCTCATTTTTCATGTCTCCTGCTTTGAAATAAATTAACGTCGCTACAAGAATACCATTTAGTCATACCAAACCGCATATTAAGAACTCTAGTACGAGTATGTGACTTCTACTAACTTGAAGTTTAACTACCCCTGATCTGTTCCATGCGACTTGCAAAAATGACATTTTCTCACTGGCGCAGCTGAGTCGCATAATTTTGACTGTATTTACTCTAAAATGTTTTTAATAGGATGGGGAGCTACTTGCCAGTCAGGACGTTTTTCGCAGAAAGCCAGCATAAAATTTTAAGTTTTGTAAATGTTTATTAAAGTATGCTGCTTCATAACCAAATTATTTACAGTCTGAAAGACAGCCTTTAACTATAAAACTACTTTCAACCGTAAAGAGGTATTTGGTTATTCTGTAGAATCATTAGGCTTTATTGAAGCAGCAAACGTGAAAATGTGGAATGCTCTCGCCGGAACTTGAACGTTAGACCTCTCGATTACGTGTCGAGTATGCTTCCATTTACACCACGAAGGCATGCAGAGAGGAGGGAGAATATACCTTATATGTCTCCTCTCTCTTAACCCTTTGCGACACAGTGCGTCCGTTCTGGACACCCCTAAAAATTTCTTTCCCTACGCACAGAAAAATTGAATGAAAAAGGATTTGTAGGTTACTATAGGTTACTCTGAACCTTCTTTATTTATAGTAGATGGCAGCTCAACACAAACCAGTCTATATATTTTAGCCATGTTTAGTTTTTTAAGGCCCGCATGTTTCAAAGAAATCTTCTAGATTTTTTTAGGGTCTAAAAGGAATTGTTTGAAAAGAAATTTATGTTTTGTGGAAATGAATTGTGGAATGTTAAGAAAATGTTTTGTGGCTGTATGCTAATCTCCTTATTCTATATTAGTTTTAAATTTTTACCTTGAAATCTTGCCTAAAATCAAACAGCGAAACCTAGGTGTGCCCAGACCGGGCTCACCGATAATCTAGGACAACTCAGAGTCTGTATTCTTTGTTTCTCCGCATCTCATCGTTCAGTTCATTGACAGCAATGCTCGTTTCAGCACTCTTTTCAAAGCTCTATTCAATCAGTGGGCCCACTTTGGGCACGCCCACAGAATTAAAACGTTAATTACTATCATTGCAAAATTTTACTTGTGCACTCCTCTAGGCCTAATTAGACTGCCTACTTTTTTTTTTTTTTAATCAAAACTCCGTCTGTAAAAGGTAGCGTGCCGGAAAGGGTTAAAAGGCGACTGGGGATCAGGGGCTCAGTTGCCAAATCCTGGATGATGACGAATTATCGTCCACTAGCTTATACTTCGGGTTCCACTTGTAGAGTCACTAGGTTTATTTGAAGCAGAAGACGTGATAAATTTGAAACGCCCTCACGGGGATTCGAACCTTGGACCTCTCGAATACGCATCAAGTATGCTTCCAATGACACCCTGAAGGCAAGCGGAAATCAGGGAGAAAATACCTTATAATTCAAAAACCTTGAAACACCTATACAATAATAATGAAATAGCTGTATTTTAATTAAAGAAGAATGAATTATCTTTTTTCATAGCATTGTTATAATTTTCAACCTAGGTTAAGGTCCTTTCCTACTGCTTTCTGTAAGCTACCTGTGAAGGGCCTAGAGTCTCTCAACAGAATGCATTTTGCAGCAATTTTCTGCGTGTGAAGTTAGAAGCTATGTATACGATTCTAACTGTAGTATATTAGAATTTATTGCAAACAAAACAAAGTATCTGTGTATTCCGTTTTAGGTGTCTCTCAAGGTTGTGGCGGCATTCGTAACATATCGAATGGAGAACTTGGGGAAATAGTGTCTCCAGATATAAATTCAGATGGATTTTACGAATCTAATCTGGATTGTAGTTGGCTGATCGTCAGTTCATCTCCTGACCAAGTAATTTTACTGAATTTCACTTCTTTCAGCGTAGAAGACCAAAGCAATAACTCTTGCGTTTTTGATTACCTGGAGGTAAGCATTAAATGCCATTATAATTTAAAATATTAAAATACAGCATTCAAAACAATATCCGCATACAAAAAAATATGAAATTGCTTTTGTTTATTTTATTCGCAATATTTACTTTTTTAGATGTTTAAAATTAAAATCCGTGTTTGTATCAAAGTGTATTCTAACTGAAAACATTAACTTAACATTAGTTTTCTTCCTTAATGGTATGCAATGCAATTAAATAAATTCAATCCATATGCAGTTAAATATAATATTACGGTACCTATGTAGGATTTACAGAGGGGGCTTACGTATTTTTAGAACGATTTGGATAAAGAATTTTAAAGAAGCAGAAGAGAAGAATGAAGAAAAATTTGATTAAAGGAAAATTATTTTAAATAATGTTTTTCAATAAAAAATGTTAGCAAAAGATTTTTATTTGAAATCGAAAATATTGTTTGCTACTTTTAAATATATTCTTCTTTCAATATGACACTTGTTAACAAGTTGCGGAGGTGAAGGATACTTTTTCGCTTTATAATATTCTTATTCCATAATTTAAATCGTTGTGAAACACATAGCAATGAAATTTATAAGCGCAAAATAAGCCACTTTATTAGTTGGAAAAAGGAAAACCGTCAATCATTACTTCTACATGGAAAGAAAATTCCAAACGAATACCCGAAAAAGGTAAGTAATGTTTCTAATGTTTCTAAAGTTAAATCGCTGGTAACAAGAGAAAATCTGCCGACGTAGAAATAAATTACAGAGTCTTTAAATACATTTGTGGCAACAATAAAAAAATAATAAGCCGAGATCTAGAACTTGAATAAGCTAAAACCATAACGTTCATTAGCTTTTTCCGAGGCATATGGCTCAGAACAATTTTCAGAACCGTGTATAAAAACTAATTAGCGGGATGTAAATGGAAGTACATAGTGACTCTTGAAGAAGCGTGCACCTAAATAACTTCAACAAAAAGGTATATTTATTATTAAAAACGAAGAGAAAAATATTTACAAACCTGATTCTATCAATACAAAGAAAGTCGCAGTAAATAAATAGCTTATGATTGATGCAGGATTCTCTTACAATGGGAAATTAAAAATAAGAAGAGGACAAAAAAATGTTAAAATCAACTCTATGTACTATCAAGAGAATATTTATGTCCGATATGTACAGAAGAAATTCCATTTCTTTAACTCAATAATTTTCAAAGTGGGAAACTTCATCAAGATGATGCAACAAGTCATACTTCGAAAAGTACAACTGAAATCCTTGAAAAAATTAAAAGACTGACACAAGTATTGCATATAAACCTTTCCGACGCATTCCTGCTGTCCGTTGTCATTTCACCCATGGACTTTTGCGCTTTTGAACTCTTGAAAAGAGGTTTTTCTAGGTGCAGTCCTACTACAGTTGACAGACATTAAAAAGTAGAAGAAGAGGACTGGAAATCAAAGCAACTGGAAGTTTTACGAAAAGCCCTTCTATCATGCAAATCACGAGGCAGACTTCTACTCCAAAACATGCTATCAGATCGGACGTTTAAAAAAGTACTTTTTTACATTTCAAACATCAGTTAAGGAGTCCCGAAACGGCTCCCACTCCTATTGAGACTTTAACGTGTTTAAACTTTAAAAACGTGCAAACCTTCCACTTCATATTGAGACTTTAACAGAATTGCAGCGAGACAATTACAGAGAAATAGCTTAAGTGATAGTATAGAAGTGATATACATAAAAATGGTTATTTTCAATTGGCTTAATTCGGTTTCGTAAATTTTATTTAAAAAAAAAACCTACCGTTGTTGCCAGCCTCACGATTTTATTTTTAGTCACATATGCGTAAGAAAATATAGAATACTTTTTTACATGCCTGTGCTTCCAATTAATGCTGTATAATATGCATATATATAATGCTTTATATAAATATATATATTTGTATATAAAATGCTTTTTTAATTTTATATATATATATTAACAAACATGTATATATGTAAAAGAGCAAATTTAAAGTAAAAATAATTAAAAAAGTGTGCAAACATATAAAAGATTAACTTTTCGAACTAACTTACAATATCATTTAAATTCAGATAGCATAAGCAAATCAAGTGCAAAACCAAACCATGAAAATAAATTCACCAATTTATCAAATTAAAATTAATCTAATTTTTTTTTAAAAAAATGCATAAGTGAATGACTGTAGAGCTGGCAGGAGACAGACTTATCAAGGGGAAGTTGCCTCCAAACCTAACTCCCCAATCATTCAATTCGTGTTTCTTCATTCATGCAGGCAAAGGTAAAAGTCAAAACCAAAAGTAAATACATGGTGAAGAAAATCCAAAAAGAAATACCAATAAAGTGGTACTTTTAGAAAGTAGTAATTAAATATTAAAGGTCAAAAATTAAAATACCAATGAAGTATTTTGAGAAATAAGCATTGGAAAGTATAGTAGTAAATTAAATTTAAAAAAAACCTTTTTGGAAAAATTAATTTAGAAACCAATGCATTTTAGAAACCCTTGTCTATAGAAACCTTCCCGAACGAATTTGCATATCAAATAAAAAAAAACTCTAAAGAAATTAAAAAGGAACTAGACATAATTTATATAAGCAAAAAGAAACCAATTAGAACTAATTATAATTTATAAAAAACAAATATATACTTAAAAATATAATTACATATCTAGAAAATACTTAAATACTACATAAAAAATTACTTAAAAAATACTTAAGAGCAAGTTGGAAGTAGTAAGTTTTAATTCTAAACTTACCTACAATATTAGCGTTGGGGTCTGCAAAAGTATTGCCTAAGTGATGTAAGTGTTGTACTGCTAATTATATAGATGGCGCTAATGTAAGTAAGTAGAGTGCCAAGCTACTATCTTTGCTTTATTAAAAATTTTTGTAAACTTTAATATTAAAATATTTAATAATATAAATCTAGAAAAAATCAAAGAATATCCTAAAAGTATGTAATTTAAGTTTTGATTTAAACTGACCAACTGTTTATGGTAGGGAGTTTAGTAGCTGAGATATATATATACATATGAAATAATAATCAAGGAAAACCCGGAACACTGTTGATGCGTAATAGCTATATAGGGTCGATCCATACTGAAGAGGAAGACTTCTGATTGCGTAGTATAATAATACGTTGACTTGGTAATATCTAAGAAATATGGCAGTCAAGGCAGTTTTAATTCCAGTTTTATTTTCCACTTGAAATATGTGACCACATTTCGCTTAGCACTCTAGTCGTGCCTATTCAAGAACATTTACATTTTTGATATTTTTGCGATAGCAAGCAAGACAGCGAAATTACATCCTAGCAGGGCAGAGAGCACAGCTGAAGTACGTAGTTACGCAATATGGAAGTACACGAAGAGAAAGGTTTTGGTTAGAGTTAATAGTTTCAGTTCCCAATTATTACACCAACAGCGCTGCGCAGGATATGGAAAAAGGAATGATCTAGAAATGACGCAATCGGAAGAAGTTATTAAGATTTTTAGAACAGAGAGGGAGAATTAATGTTTTACCGATAGTTTAAATAATAATTTTGATTTACAAATTTTTATCCTACATATATCACAAACACACACATACATATGTATGTATGCTGGTGTAGGAATACTGAGACGTTTCTACGTCTCAGTATTACAGTTTCCACAACATTACACACCGAGTGTGTGTGTGCGTCTGAGTATAATGAAAGCAAATTCAGAAGTATTGATGTAGGAATACTGAGACGTAGAAACGCACAATATACTGATGTAAAGCACATAGACGGCATATTGAAGAGGAATTATTCTGCTTGCGTAGAATGCTAAATTCTTAATGACTTGGCAAAATTCTTAATGACTTCTTAATGACTTGGCAGTCGAGGCGGATTAAATTCCATTTTTATTTAAATTACTATTTGTGGTCACAATTCACTTGGCACTGTAATCGTGCTTCTTTCCACAACATTTACATTTTTGACACTGTTGCGACAGGAATACTCCAGAGCGAAATAGCGTCTTTATAGGAAGACAGGCAGAATCTAAAGTGTGCAGTTATCCAATATAGAAACTCACCAAGAGAAGGTTTGGGTTTAGGTTAAAAAGGCTTCAGTTCTCCAAATGTTAAATTCCCAATTAGCTATGTCATTAGCGTTACGTAAGCCGTATAACAAAGACTGACCTAGAAATGATGCAATCCAAAAAAGTTATAATTTTCAGAATGCATAGAATATACCTAAATTAAAAATGAGGAATTAAGAGACTATTAATAAATTAAATAATAAAGCTGATTTATATACTTTTTATCTTGCATATAGTATATATATATATATATATATACCCACGCACATGTACCTCCCTTTCCTTACCTTTTTTCGGCATAGTTGGTACTGTTGCGATAGGAAGAGAGTACAGCGAAATTCCGTCCAAGCAGCACTCAGAAAGAAGCTAAAGTGCGCAAATATCTGAGTTTATATATATCTGAGTTTATTTAGATATAAAATATCTGAGTGCGCAAATATCTGAGTTTATATATATCTGAGTTTATATAGATATAAAATATCTGAGTGCGCAAATATCTGATCTCCAAGAGGAAGGTTTTGATTTAAGTTAGAAAGGATTCTGAGTTTAGGTTCCGAATCAACTACATCATCTGCTTTACGCAAGTTATGCAACATAGATTTATCAAGTTTCCTAAGTAGCGAATTGATGCAAGAATGTAAACTGCTTTTCTTCAGAATTTTAGTTCTTGAAGTCACATCTCTCCCCCCTCCCGGAAATTTTGTTCCAGATTTGTGTTAATCTAAGGTTGCAATTCGGAGATGATTTGAATCTAAAATCATGTAATATAAAATTTTTTGTATGTTTTAATAATATTTATCATATTCCTTACCAACACATCCTTGTTAATTTTGTTGTTGTTGTTGTTTTTTTTGTTTTTTTTTTTTTTTTTTTTTTTTTTTTTTTTTTCTCTCTCTCTACTTGTAAATTTTGATCTAGTAACGTAAAACTAATTTATAAAAATGTAGGTTTATTTTATTATGAGCCAGTTACAGTTAATAATGCCTAAAAATAGAGAATTTTCAGTTTTTGTTCTACTTCTTAGGTGAGAGATGGTATATCGAAAGATAGCCCTCTCATAGGCCATTATTGTGGCTCCATTGCTCCGTCACCTATCATAACATCCGGAAACAAAGTCACCGTCATTTTCCACTCAAATGATGACATAAACTTGGCTGGATTTGCAATCAATTACTCTCTAGTTCCATGTAAGTATATTTTTTGCATTACACAGTAAAATTGTTTTATTAAAAGCTTCTTTTTTACTCGAAGACGTCATCATTAGAATATTACAATCGAAAGGATGGCAACATTACGAATATTTTTAAAACTGGATGTAAATAATATCCAGAAAATAAATTCTTCAACAAGTGGCGCTTCATCAGCATTAGCCGTCATGTGCGCATGTCAGGGAAATTCAGTTATGTTTATCTTTCCTTCGCGCCTAAGCTTGATTTTTCGCCTATCAGTGCAGAAAGACTTAGCGGATGCGAAACAAGACATCTGTCTACTTTGACTGTCTGTCTAAGACACAAACGCCATCTAGAGGAAATCAAGTCACGTTATTCAACCCACTGACAGAAAGTATTTATGTTCTCCAGCTGAAAGCAATGAATAAATAAATGTAATGAAATGAATGTGTACAGTTCGCTTCTTGAATGCAAACACAAATGCGAAAAAAAAGTCTCTTATCTATTTTTACTTCCTTATATGAAGTAAAGGAAATATTTTAACCTCGAAACATTTCGGATATCGTATTTCATCTAATTCATTCTGACTGCAATCGAATGTAATTTAATAATGTTTTTGGGTGACATCTGTACGTAAGGACAAAATGAAGGACTTTCTCCCAAAACGGGTTATAAAATGTATTCAGAAGAGATTTTTCTCGTTACGTCTCTACGTACGTGTGCATTTTTCTTGCATAACTCAAACTCGAGTACGACTCAGAACGTCGAAATTTTGTATATACGACTGCTATAACATGCAGTTCTGCAACTTCCTTTTTGGTTGCGATCGCGCCACCAAACGTATATACATATATTCGTTTATTGTTTTATTTTCATTTGAGTTTACGTATTTGAAGTTTCTTTTAATTTTACATGTACTCCTTTTGGTTGAGATCATAGAGAAAAAATTGGTTAGGGCTTTCCTAATGAACAAATCATAATTTTTCATTTCAGTTCAGACTTTTCCTTTTCAACTTTAATTTTATATATATATATATATATATATATGTTACCGTGAAAGACCGAAATTGGAGAATGTCGACTTTCACCGGAGAATATCAACATTCACCAAATACGTCGGTGAAAGACCGAATATTTCACTACATTCTTGTGTATTCGGACCCTCACCGGTGTATGTCGACAATCACAGACATGCTCTGGTGAAAGTCGAAAAGAGAGGTCATAAAGTGCCATAATAGTTTAAGTTGTTGCAATAAATAAGATTTGAATCACATAATTTAGTAAGTTTTTTATTACTGTTATTTTATTTTCTCATTTAGAACGTACTGTATAATTAAGTAAGTTTTTAACTTCTATTATTTTCCTTTCTCATTTTGAATGTATTATGTGTTTTAGGTTCTCATGTTCTTAAGTTCTTATTTCAAGTTTCAAGTGCGTTTATTCGCGATTGACTTACAAAGAAGAAAATATAATATTGTTATATGTTCAACATTCACCATTATACTAATGGTGAATGTCGACATTGACCGGTGTAAGTCAGAAATAAGTGTATTTGGAAAATATTTCGGACATACACCAAGAGACTATGTGAATGTTCTCCAGATTTCGGTGTTTCACCGTAATATATATATATATATATATAGCAAAGTGGAGTGCTATAACAGAGTGGGTATATAAAAGCAGTAAGTAGTAAATCATAAAATAGTGAGACCTAGTTCGTCAAAAATAGCGAGTTGAGCTGCAAATTTTAAAATAGAAGTATAATAAAAGGAGAGGTAAAAAAACAGCTAAAGCTGTAAAGAACATTTGAATTAATTAATTCCAGATATTACATGTTAAACAAAGTTAAAACAACAAAACTCTAAGCTAAAGCAATCAATTATACGCGAAAAAAACTTACATATTAAACAAGAAAATCTATACAACAAAATTAAAATCGGTGCGCGAAAAAAACCTAAACAATTTACAAAATACTGAGAAATATTACATTAAAAAAAACATGGTCAATCTACTCTGTTTAAGGCTTCAAACAGAACTTGTGAAGGGAAAAGGGCCTAAAGCCCCCCAACCAAATTGATGACCCATAAAAATAGTAATATAGCCACTCTGTTACTCGGCTCGGTGAGCTCAGTTTCTTTTTATTCTTATATTTTAAAAAATTGTGCATTTTTTTGCTTTAAAAGTGATTGAATTTTGTTGCTTTTATGTCCCGGTTAAGGTTTTTATGCCTTTAGTTAATCTGTATGCAGTAATAATAGAATTCTTAACAATTTAAAAGTTGGCGAAGTCAAACAGCAATTGCATTTTGGCAGCTGAGGAAGATGGTTCTATAGTTGAACCATCGAAACTAGTTCTGCAAAGTTTACAAATATAACGCTGATCCTTCTTGTTTGCCTCCTCAATAATGATTATTCGGCGTGTTATTTTAACCTAAATTTAAAAGTTAAGTTAGGTGATACTAAAGCCTAACGAAGCCACCATTTGTTTGCATTCGAAACTCTTAGTAGAATAAAGAATCAAATCAGTTTGTGCAAGTGTCTTTTTCTCCATCCGAGAACAAAACGTCCATTTTAACAGGCGCCTAGGCGACGAGATCCCATTTGAGTTTTAGCTCCGTCGCTGCTGCAGTGTCGGGCCAAAGGAAAACTTTTAATTTTATGCAACGAAAAATCTGTCTTCTTGTCAGTTGACCTAATTGCTTGTTTTTGGGTAGAAACTTTGTTTTTAATTGCAAAAATATTTTCTTTAACTGTTTTTAATTCTATTTAGTGTTTTAGGTTTTTCTGTATTTTACAATTTTTAATAAAGGTGCTTGGAGATTTTATGGATTTCGCATTGCTGCGAAGTGAGAATTGAATTCATTGAATGAAAAATATATTTCTAATGAAATTCGGGAAATACGTTTAAATGAAACGCAGCAAAAATTTGTGCACTATTTAATAAACCGTACAAGGATGGGCCGTAGACAAAGCCGTAGTGAGCTTTGCCATAAATTATAGAGTCTAACCTTCTTTGAAAACATAAACTAAAAGGCCTCAGGCTTAACCTAAGAGTCTTATCGCTATGTCAAGTAATCAGACATAGTACTTTAAGGTATAAAAGACTTATAAAACTCAGATAATTTAACAGAAGTCATTTCTTACAAAACTATCCCTCCAGGCGGCAAGGCCGTATATATGCGTTCGAAAATAATGGCTCTCATAGCGGCAAGGCAGCATATATGCGTCCAGATATATTGGTCCTCATGGCGGCAAGGCAGCATATATACGTAAACTTAAATTTTGGCACGAAACGGCAAAGCAGCATATATACAGCCTGTCTCAGAGTGCCCTCCCCTCTCTTCTCTTAATGTAAACTGACAGGTGATAATTTTTCTCTGCGGGAGGTAATTGAGGAGAGGAAACTATCTATTCGCTAGGGGCAAATGGGTTTTATCGTTAGGTTTTGAATAACAGCTCGGAATAAATAGCTCGTTCAAAACTTCCAGCTGTTCCAGCTGTTCTGTGCTTATACCAGCTATAGTAAACTTAAATGTTTATGTTCGTGTAAAGAGAATTTTCATTTTCCAGCCTAATTATTCTCCAAATTTTAGATGCAGTTTGGCAAAATGTAATTGGAATTAAAATTAAAATTGCAAGAAACTGCAACAATATTTTGAAATATGTGATTTCAATTATATTGCAATTGTAATTAGCTTCGCAATTACAATTAGAAAGTAAGTACTTTTTAAATGCAACAATAATGTATGTAATTGCATTTTAATTCTTAAGTCTTACAATTACAATGCAATGATAATCACAAACATTATAATTATATAATCTAATTACAATTACAAATTTTATTGCATCTAATCACAACTACGGTAATATTAGCTAATTACAACGTAATTTTAACTGCAATTGCAGTAGGTAATTATAACTACGTAATTAGGAAAGTAATTGTCTCTGATAATTAGAATTACTTAACATAGTGAAATTATGATCATAATTGTAATTCTAAGTGTAGTATGCAATTGTAATAAAATTATGCAATTACTAAGTAGTTATAGTTAAAAAGTAGCTGTTTTTTTAATTACAATTACAATTTACGTAATTTCATTTAAATTACAATTACTCTATATTTGTGAAATCCAATTTCATATTCAATGCAACTGCAATCATATAATCTAATTACAATTACACTGTCATTGTAACTCCAGTAAGTAATTATAATAATGTAATTAGGATAGCAATTGTTTCTGATAAAAGCAGTTACGTAGCCCAGGAAAATCATGATCTTAATTGCAAATGTAATTGCAGAATGCAATTGAAAACACATAGTAATTGGAATAATATTATGCAATTATCTTGTAATTACAATGTAACAATTTTTAATTACATATACAATTTACTCAAATGCATTTTAATTATAATTGCATTTTAATTGTGAAATCTAATTGAATAAACAGTATAACTGTAATTATATAATCTAATAAAAATTACAATGCAATTGTAATGACCTCTTAATTAAAATTGCGCAGCAGAGATGATTGTAACTATTTAATCAGAAAAACAACTGCCCCTTATAATTTCAGTGACATAGGCTAAGGAAATCGTGATAATATTTGAAAATTACAGTCAATAATATTATATTCGAAATGTTTCTGCATTTTGGATAATGAGTTTTTAAATAATACAACGGGATAATCACCTATAAGAAAAATATTAATATTTTCTGTCATGTCTTCTGAATCATCTTACATATATTGTAGTTTGTGGTACCAGCATAAATAGGAGTTTATTTAAAGGAAATATTTTATATAGACCGAAATGCACATAACGTTAGTAAGCAAATATGTATGTTTATGATCTTCGATATACATGTGAACTTAAATTACAAGATTAAGGGAAAGCAAGCAAAGAGTTTATGCCAGTGCAAAGGGATGTTTTCGCAAAGGATTTGTTACGGGACGCTTGTCTTGTTTACATTACACAAGAAATAAATCATAAAAATTACATTTATCCTTTTCTTTTCAGAAA